ACCACAAACGTTTGTAGCCCAAATCTTATTGGGTATTTGGAGGAAATCAGCTCATTGGGCTAGATGCTTAATATCCAATTAAGGAAATGATTTTTTGAAGTGGAAAACCTATTTCCTATCTCCTTCACGATTTGACACTTCTCATATCTCTTATCTTCTTCAAGCTTTGAAACTCTTATCATTATCTTTGAATTCAATCTTTAAGAGATTTTCCTGGAATACGTTTGTGATTTTTGACCTATAAAAAGGAGTCCTTGGTCTTCATTTTAAAGGGGAATTAACTCGATTTTTTATATTTGCACACGATCACGAAATTTGAACACAAGAAAACATATATTTTTTACTGCTGCTTAGGTAAATTGCTTTTGCATCTATTTGGTGAATTTTATGAAAATGCTTCTATTAATTAAAAGAGGTTTTAGAAAAAGTGGTTTGATATGGTTTCTTTTAAAAGCACTTTCGAAATAGGAAATTTTTTTAAAAATTAATTTTCAAACAAAAATTAAGATAACCCCCTCTAAAATTTTTGCTACAAAAAGTAAAAGCAAAAACACTAGCAAAAGTCATATCAAAAGACTCGTAAGAGCTTGTTTGGAGAGAATTTTTGAAAATTATTATCTCAAAATCAATTTCAACCACATTCTTTGAGATCCACAATTTTTCCCTACTTTCTAAGCATAAATGATCTGAAAAATCATTTTCTCAATTTATATCTTCCAAACAAGTTTTAGGAGATCTAGAACAAATAAACCCTTCCAACCATTGTTGAACTTCCTGAAAAATCTATGTCAGATAACATTGGAAAAAGGAAGTGTTCAAATATATTCCATGAATTACTTCTAAATATAAGGACTTTTGATTCTTGTGACATTAATTATTCAAAATTTCATCTCCAATTGATTCAGTTTATAATGTAAATTTCATATTTAATGTATATTTAATAGGAGAGGGTAAAACCGGAGAGAGGAGATAAGAAAGAGGAAATATAAATAGTAAATTATGATAATTTATTCAGTCTGAAAGAGTCTACACATTTAGACGTCTTCTTGATAATGCCTACTTTATTCTCGTCACGTCAATATAGAAACAAATTGATGGATAAGTAAATAGTATTTGTAGATCCTACAAAATGTTTGGATAAAAAGTGATTTTAATATTTATAAGCAATTATAAACACGAGCCAAACATAGGTTAAGAAGCACGAACAATTGACCAAATAGTGACATTTTACCAATACATGAAATATCAAACATTCCTCTTCTTTTGTAATTTGTTTTGTATCAATTTATAACTGGAACTATCCCAAGCAAACGCACCAGCAGCAGGAGAAAAGGTAAAAGAACATCAAACTATATCATTTCTTTCTTTCCAAAGTCCTAGCAATAATATTAAGTATTACCAGCGGCAACTGACAACTGACAAGAGGGTGTATAGACATTACTGTGTTATAAAGGTAGTTAAAATCTAAATGATTTGCGCTGAAACTGTTAGAAGATCTACCAGGAGAAATAAAAAATTAACACACTATCAAAAAAG